TCCAACGATTCTTTAGAACAAGACGAGCTGCAAGAACTGACGCTGCTTTTACTGACCTGCATAATGAATGTCGTGCACGTGCACCGCCGCAGGGTCATGAGTATTTTACTGAAAATAGGCAAAAACCATCAGGCTTCTGTTTACGTCTTCCTACTTATAATAACACACGCACACACACGCACGCACACACGTTTTTAAGATATAAATCGTGTGTTTGCTGCGGCCAGGTTTGACATGAGGAACTCATAAATCTGATTTTTGATTTCAGTGAAATGTGTAGAACGTTGTCACGGCCATGAATCAGTGAAGAGGATGACTCTCAGCTACTACCACACCAAATCTTATCTCCGTTTCAAGCTGTCTGAAATATAACACATTTGTTGTGTTGGCTGTGGTGGCCATCTTGAATTGGGTTAGGTCCCAAACTTAAAGCTACATCTATAATTTGTAACGTTCAATTAAAACTGGTCAAGTGGTTCATGAGATATTATGCTAACAGACGAGCAGGTTGGTCTAAACGTTCAATGCATTTGGAGCGTGCGTCTTGAATTCTATTTAATCCAGAGTTTAGTCAGTTTTAGAGATTTACCTAACAATTGTTTCCTAACGGCTTTATTAAATCAACCTTTATTTATACAGGTAAATCCCTAATTAAATTCCTTCATCATGAGATATTTTGCTAACACACAGATTTGACTCTAAATTGTAAACAATTAAAGTTTTGAACTAAGCTCTAGTATTTCTCATAGTGTGTTGAAGATTACTCTCAGCTACTACCACACCAAACCTTAGCTCAATATCTGAAAAACAAATGAATTCAATTAAATTAAAATTTAAAAAGACACAGTTACAACCATTTTGGTGTTTTTGTAGATGAGTTGGCTGCGGTGGCCATCTTGAATAGGGATGACTTCAAAAGTTAAAGAGATGAAGGTGTACATCATCCATCCATCCATCCATCCATCCATCCATCCATCCATCCATCCATCCATCCATCCATCCATCCTCTTTACCCATTTCTTGCTTTTCGGGTCCCTGGTGCCCAGATCCAGCAGTTACTGTGAGACAGACAGGGGACACCCTGGACAGGTCTCCAGTCCATCACAGGGACACCCTGGACAGGTCTCCAGTCCATCACAGGGACACCCTGGACAGGTCTCCAGTCCATTACAGGGACACTTGGGGACAAACGAGACAAACAACCATGTTTTCGGTTTGTGGGAGGAAACCGGAGTACCTGGAGAAAACCCACGCAGCACAGAGAGAACATGCAAACTCCACCCAGAAAGGTCCGGGATTTGAACCGATGACCTTCTTGCTGCGAGGCAACAGCTCTACCTACTGAACCACCGTGCCACTTGAAGGTGTTCTAGTTACATTTTGTCAGCAGGAGCACACAGACACTAACTTCACCTTTTAGTGATGGGCCTTAATAACATTACCCCCCCCCCCCCCCCCACCACCACCACCACCAAACAACAACAACAACAACAACAAACGTTCTTATAGAATTATAAATCTGAGGTGTGTTCCTGATCTTTATTCCTTGCCTGCAGCAAACATGAGCCAGAGCTAAATCATCAGACTCTCAAAGTGAGAGGAAACTGATGGAAGATCAACCAGAAGACTTGTTGAGTTTGCAGAGCTCCTGCTCCGCTGGTCCTGCTCCTCTGGTCCTGCTCCTCTGGTCCTGCTCCGCTGGTCCTGCTCTGCTGGTCCTGCTCCGTTGGTCCTGCTCCTCTGGTCCTGTTCCTCTGGTCCTGCTCCTCTGGTCCTGTTCCTCTGGTCCTGCTCTGCTGGTCCTGTTCCTCTGGTCCTGCTCCTCCGGTCCTGCTCCTCCGGTCCTGCTCCTCTGGTCCTGCTCCGCTGGTCCTGTTCCTCTGGTCCTGCTCCTCTGGTCCTGCTCCTCTGGTCCTGCTCCTCTGGTCCTGCTCCCCTGGTCCTGCTCTGCTGGTCCCACTCTGCTGGTCCTGTTCCTCTGGTCCTGCTCCTCCAGTCCTGTTCCTCTGGTCCTGCTCTGCTGGTCCTGCTCCTCCATCCTGAGGCGTGGAGTTCTCCTGGATCTCATGGGTCACCAGCAGGCTCTAACGGGCCGTGGTTCTGTGGTTTGTGTGCAGCTCTGGGGGTCGTTAGCCCACAGGAAGTGGGCCGTCGTGGAGCATCATCGTTAACTCAGACCGCAGCTGGATCCACGGCTTCACGGGTGGAAACGCACAAACAAAGTCTCAAAGTGAGACCTGACGGAGGTTTAACAGAACGATGGAGAAGTTTAACTGGAGTCCAAACGTCCCTAAAAGGGAAACATTTATTCCACAGAGACTCTGAGATCATTACAGGTTGTTACAGCAGGTTGTGTCAAATCTTTTAGAGCATGTGTTGTGGATGACTCTCTGCTACTACCACTCCAAGTCTGGCCCCGATATTTCTCAAAATGACCGAGTTACAAACGGTTTTGTATTTTCTTAGTTGCGGCGGGTATCGTGAAATGGGTCAGCTGTAAAAGTTAATCAGTCGTTGAAGAACATCTATCGATTCATTCCTGAAAACTTAATTAAAATTTGTCTTGTGGTTCATGAGATATTTTGCTAACAGACATAGAGTTAACTCCAATCTTCCACAGGTAGTTTTCTGAATACGAGTTGGAAAATACTCTCAACTTCAGCTAAGTATCTGCATAACTGACAGTTAGACACTTTTGTGTTTTTAAAGGGGAGTTGGCTGTGGCAGCCATTTTGAATTGTGTTGAGACTAAAGTCCAATCAGTTGTAGATGTTTTTCTAATGATGATGTCAAGTTTTTATATATATATTTACTTTTTTTGCATTTAATTTTCTCTTTCTTTCTAGGGTTGATGTTCAAGGCTTCACTTTGATATTGATCATTAGCAGGTAAGATGTTTTCTACTTATAAATTCAGACACACAGGTGTAATATGAGAATGGATGCAGGCACCATACAAATTTTTATTGGACGCATGAAAATCTTTATTATATATATAAAAAAAAAGTTGGGAAAAAACCCTTAAAAGTGTTTATCACATTTTTTCAGACCATGTGGTAAAAGTTATTTTCCACTTCTGAATCCAGGATTTTTCTGTTACATTCTTATAAAAGTTAAACTTTAAATCCAGCATCAACTGAAAGCCTAACATTAGTTCCCCCGCGGTTTTTAAAACGATGATTATCTCATGTTGAGAAATTATTCAAGTTGTTTGATTCAATCCTCGTGTTATGTGTGATCACGTACATGATTTGATAGATCTTGAATACCGTACTTTTCTCTGTATAAGTCACACCGTTTTACATAAATTAGCATGCCCTGCGACTTACACAGCGAAGCGACGTATTTATGTTTTTTTCCATATTTATAAAAATTTTTGGCTGAGATTTGACGATTTAATTCATTCTGACATGGAAAATATTGAACACTACCACTTTCAGCCACTAGAGGGCCCTCGAGCAGTATGGCAAGCCATGTGACTCATTAATAGGTAAACGTGGTTATTAATGAGACACTTGGTTTGCCATACTACCACCTTCGTCTCGCTCCGGAACTCCTGGAGCAAACTTTGACCGTTAAAGTGCTTTTATTAAGGACAAGTTCAACTGAGACACACCTTTGCTATAATGTTGAGCAAACAATAATTGTTTTTAAGTGTTACTCTTGTGAAATTCTTGTTAACGTCCTCCCGTGCACACTCCCGTGGTTGCCATTTGGCAGCCAATTGATTTTTGGCACAACACCGCCCCACATTTACGGGTTGTCCGCGGTGACTCGTAACAAACGCGATGCGTCAGTGGTGACACACACAGTAGATGCGACATATACGGTGAAGCGACGTATTTGTTTTTTCACTTCATTAGACATTTTTGGACTGATGCGACGTGTACGGCAGAAAGTACGGTAATCGGTCAGCGCTGGAACCATAATGCTGAGTGACTCTCAGCTACCACCACATCAATATTTAGCTTAGTATCTATTCGGTATAGACATTTTTAATTGACCTATTAAGGTGGATTAGATAAGTTAATTATTTGTAGACAGTTACTTTCTGTAAGCTTTATTAAAGCTGGTCAAGTTTTAACTCTATGGTAACTTTACGATATCAAATAGGAAACAAGTATTTGTCACTATAACAAAATCAACATATTACATATATACTATATATATACATTAAACAAAGATTAGTTTCCAGGAGACAACATTGTGCCTTTATGGACAAATCAACTTGATATTATTGTGTAAAAAATAAAAACAATAATAAATATTTGTTGGAAACATCAATTTCTTTAACAAACACTTGAAAAACTGATTTATTGAGGTTTTCATGCATTGCACACAACAATGCGCCATCATAAAACACAAATATAATAAATGATCATGTGACACTAACACGTCAGTTCGTTGTTTCCAGGTAAAACTTTATTGATACGTTATAACGCACAGTTTATCCTGACAGCAGGTTCCTTCACACACAAACAAAGGAAACGTTACTAAAGACATGGACTGTCATGCACCTATTGTCCAGCTCTAATCAAGGCTCTAATTTCATCGTCTCCAGGTTCCTTATTCTCCTCTGACCTGCGTTCTGTTGGTTTACCATCGTGGTACTCTTCATCCTCATCTCCAGCCTCCTCCTCCCTCCTCAGCTTGCAGCACCGCCTGTTCTTTAGATCATCACGTGCCATCAAAAGTCCACAGGCGTGAAATGGCTCATGTGCACTACAGGCGGCTGCAGTCAAAGCTTCTAGAGCAGTCGTCCTCCAGTGGGAGAGTTGTTGGTTTGATTCCACCAGCAGTCACATGCTGAAGTGTCCCTGGGCAAGACACTGAACCCCTCGTTGCCTCTGATGCGTGTCCCTGTCTTGATAAAATAGAAAGGCGTTATGTAAGTACAGTCCATTTACCGCTTCTGCACCAGCATCCGTTACATTAAATGGCAGAGAGCAGAGTGTTTTTGGTGCCACTCAGCATTTTCTGTGCACGTTCACCAAACTCAGCTTGGGTCAAAATGCAATAAGTTTAAAAACGACATCACAATAGTTCATCATTTCTTATCTGGCAACCCAAACTGCAGCGTTTCACCAACGTTCCCAGAGCTAGTTCTCGCGTAAACAGGGCTTCATTTATTCATAGATAAGAATATCTGTGGGAGGTGGGGGCTCCCATCAGCACACTGCAGGTGCTGGGAATCAAACCCCCAACCCTCCAACTGGAAGACGACCACACTCTCAGTGGGGCCTACAAAACGTTCAAATCCCTGGACACGTTTAAACATTAAGACAAACATTATAACGCCCTTTGCACCGTATCTGAGTGTTTTTGTCCATTTAGAGTGCAGCATTTGTCACGGTGGTGCAGCGTGAGCAGTAAACGCTGTGCGCTCGGCTCTTTGATGTGTCGCAGGATGATCGAGGAAGGCAGCAAACGAGGCAAGGCCACGGTGGAGAAGAGACAACTCTTCATGGAGATGAGTGAGTGCCGTCACCGTGGAGAAGTCTTCACGAGTCGACTCGTCTTCAGTTTGGAACGAGTTTTATGAATCTGGAGGACAAGGAGTTTTGGAGATTTTTTATTTACAAATGATATTTTGCTAACAGTGAATGCTGATTCAGCCTTCATAATAATATCTGTTTTTGCTTTTTGTTGTTGCGGTCTGACAACCGTTCAGCTCATTCCAAGTGTGGATGCTGCAGCAATTTATTTTGTCTTTTATACTTTAACTTTTTTAAATAGTTCCAATTTTTCCCCAGAGATATATTTTCAGATTTCCTCAATACTTTAAAAAAGTTTTTTTTTTTTTGTTTAGAAGTGCCCTTCAGCTTACTTCAGTTATTTTTGCCCTCTTCTGCTACTTTTAAGTTTGTAGCTAACTTCTTGTTACTTTTAGCTTATAGCTACTCTGCTGCTGTCTTTAGCTTCTAAACTGAAAGTGCTAAATGTTGTTATTGTGTCCGTACCATGGCAGATCTGTTCTTATTTCACCCATCGCACACGTGTCAGGTACAGGTGGGTCAGGGATCAGCTTCCTTCCTCAGGAACATGGGTATGGGCATGCTGGGGAATTGAACCTGTAACTTTCCAATCCCAAAATGGCTGCCCTACCAGAGCTGTTTAACTACTCTAATGCTAAATATAGCTTTTAGCTGCCCTCTGGTGCTTTTAGCTATAGATTTTTACCACTTTTAGTGACTGTTCTGCTGCTTTCAGCTGACATTCGGCTGCTTTTAGACAGTTTTTTGCATATTCTATCAAACGTTGGCTACTTTTACCTTCTAGCTACTCCTTTGGTACTTTTATCTGGACTCTTGGTACCTTTAGCGCTCAGCATCGCACTGATTTTTATCTGAGAGGCTCTAGCTGTGTGTTTGTGTGTTTTCTTTAGGAGCACAAAACTTTGACGTGATCAGACTGTCGACCTACAGGACGGCCTGCAAGCTCCGCTTCGTGCAGAAGAGATGCAACCGTAAGAGCAGGACTTCTCTTCTGAGCGCTCGTTGTGTTGCAGCCTGAACGTTCACGTCTGACCCGTGTCCCCTCCTCTCTTTGCAGTCCACCTGGTTGATGTCTGGAACATGATTGAAGCCTTTCGTGACAACGGGCTCAACACGCTGGACCACAATGCAGAGATCAGCGTGTCCCGGCTGGAGACCATTCTGTCTTCCATCTACTACCAGCTCAACAAGCGGCTGCCCACCACCCACCAGATCAACGTGGAGCAGTCCATCGGGCTGCTGCTCAACTTCATGGTGGCCACCTACGACAGGTGTGGAACGCACGAGCGACACAAACAGGAAGCAGCACACGTGCACGTAGTTCTGTGTGATCTTTTCAAACTCTTTACCTCGTTTCATGTCAAACTAAATTTAAGTTAAAACAGAAAACAATCAGTTTTGTTTGTTTCAGAGAATGAAAAGTCTGAACCTGTTTCCATCAGCTGATTCAAAAACAAACTGATTATTACGTTTATGATTTGTGAACGATCTAAAATCGCTCAGCTGCGGTCCGATGATGATGATGATGATACTCAGAGGGCAAAGGTTGGCGTTTTGGGAGCTTCTCTTCCAAATCTGGATAATAAACATCTGTAAATATTTACCTGATTCATCTGGTGCACATGTGTGGTGGTGGCCATCTTGGATTTTGACTTGGCCCCATGTTTCGATGCAGCCACAGACTAAATGAAAGTCACACTTCACCTCGCTTATTTTTCAAGTTATCATACGACACGGACGGAGGGATGGACGGATGGATGGATGGATGGACGGATGGACAGATGGATGGATGGATGGACAGATGGATGGATGGACAGATGGATGGATGTATGGACAGATGGATGGATGGACGGATGGATGGATGGACGGACGGACGGCTGGATGGATGGATGGATGGATGGATGGATGGATGGACGGATGGATGGATGGATGGATGGATGGACGGATGGATGGATGGATGGACGGATGGATGGATGGATGGATGGACTGATGGATGGATGGATGGA